AACGAGATGTCCCAGGAACTGGACCTCTCGCAACCAGAAATCACACTTGGAGAATTTGGCATAAAGCCTCTCCGATCTCAAAACCCCGAGGACCTCCCTCAAATGCTCCTCATGCTGCTCTCTAGACCTCGAATACACCAAAATTTCATCGATGAATACGATCACCGAGCGATCCAACATCGGTCTGCACACCCTGTTCATTAGATCCATGAACACCGTTGGTGCGTTAGTGAGCCCGAAATGCATCACCACAAACTCGTAATGCCCGTAACGAGTCTTGAACATTGTCTTCTGGATATCCACATCCCGCACCCTTACCTGATGATATCCAGACCTCAGGTCGATCTTGGAGAACCAAGATGCTCCCTGCAACTGATCAAACAAATTGTCAATCCTCGGCAACGGATAACATTTCTTGACCATCAACTTGTTCAACTCCCGGTAATCTACGCACATCCGGTGTGAACCATCCTTTTTCTAGACGAAAAGGATAGATGCTCCCCACGACGAACTGCTCGGACGAATAAATCCCTTCCCTAGCAGCTCATGAAGTTGCGAGGACAACTCCTGCATCTCGGGAGGTGCAAGGCGATAGGGCGCCTTGGCGATAGGTGCAGCCCCCGAGATTAGATCAATACTAAACTCTACCTGCCTCGCGGGAGGCACACCCGGCAACTCCTCCGAAAATACGTCCGGGAACTCATGCACTATCGGGACCTCTTCCACTGACCTCGGTCTCTCTGAATCAACCCTCGCGTCCATCACATACGCTATAAACCCCTTACATCCCTGCTGAAGACTTTGTCTCGCCCTGGCGGCTGAACAAAACGCCGACCCAGAATGTGTACCCTCGCCGTACACTTTAAGAACTCCCCTACTAGGGTCTCGCATGGCCACCAGCTGTCGCTCGCAGTCGATGATCGCTCCAAATCTGCTCAACCAGTCCATGCCCACGATGACATAAACACCCCCCATCGCAATGGGGACCAAATCGATCGGAAACTCAACCCCGAAAATCTCAAGCACTCAACCTCGAATCACCTTGGTGGCATAGACCTCTCTCTCATCCACTATGGAAACTCTAAAAGGTCGACTCAACACCTCTCTACTCATACTGATGTGTCGGCTAAATGCCAACGATACAAAAGATTGACTCGCACCCGAGTCAAATAGCACTAGAGTAGGTACATAATTCACAAGAAAAGTATCTACGCATAACATAATATAAACACAATATCTCAACATAAAATGAATACATGATAGAGTACATACCAGCCACGACGTCAGGTGCTGCACGGACCTCCTCCGCTATCAGTTGAAATGCTCTCCCTCGCACCTTTGGCGCCTCGACTTTCACATGCCGACTCTTACTAGCTCTTGCAACAGTAGGGGAAGATCCGTGAGGTGCTCCCTGTGTCGTCCCTCGCAACTGTGGACATTCCGCCTTCCGGTTTCTTGTTTGGTTGCAGTGAAAATAGACCACGAATCCCTTGGGGCAATCCTTGGCGATATGCCCCTCCTTGCCACACTTGTAGCAAGCACCAACCCTACAAACTTCGTCATGGCCCTTTCCGTACTTTCCGCAAGTGCGGCCCTTCTGACCCCAGTCCTCGAATCGGTGGGCTTGGCCCGCTTGGCTGTCAGTTGAGATTGTACCGACCGCCGATCCATCTTCTGAGACTCGGCCTCCTCCTTGGCCTGCGTCTCCAATTCGATCTCCTTCTTCCGGGTATTTTCTTGAAGCTTAACAAATGTCCGGTATGATGAGTTTGCCACAAACTCACGAATGTCTCTCCTCAAAATTCTCAGATATCGACTCATACGTGCCTGGTCGATCGACACGTGTTCAGGGCAGAACATTTCCCTCTCGTGAAACCTCCGTGTAATCTCTATAACCGACTTAGTACCCTGTTTAAGGGTTAGAAACTCCTGTGCCAATCGCTCCCTCTCCACCTGGGGAACATACTCATCTTGTAACATAGCAGTGAACCTCTCCCAGGTTACTGCAACAAGCTCAGTAGGGGTGTAGTGTGCCATCACAAACTTCCACCAGTCCTTCGCTCCCAAACAAAGCTGGTTCAGCACGAACCGAACTCTCAGATGCTCCGTACAAGAACATGTGTAGAAGCACCCCTCTATTTCAGAAACCCACCTCATCGCGGCTATCAGATCCTGAGTTCCGTTAAATTATGGTGGCTTCGTGTTGCTGAACTCCCAATACAACAACGAGTCACCCCCTTGTGGCCTGGCAGCAGCAACGGCCGCAGTGGCTGCAACAACAACAACATCAGAAAGAGTAGCATACCGCTCATCAAAAGTCTCAATCAAATTGGTCTTAATAGACCCGAACATCTCCGGAATCTCAGCCCTAATGGTCGCAGCCACCTCCTCGTGGATGATCCTACGAATCTCCTCATCACTCGTCCCGTTGACCTCTGGTGTGTGGCGCGTCCTAACCATGATCTCCCTTTGAAATACAACATAAGAATATTAGGGACCCACTCGAGCATAATCACACTCGATAACTCCACCCCACTGGTTCCTTAGTGCCCTAAGGATTCTTACTTGGACTACGCACCAACCCGATATCTTCAGTAGTACGGTCCAATACTACCGTCCATACCGCATCGGCATTCATCCCAAGTCCTCCTCCTTGAGCCCCAAATCCCAAGTGCTCTATTCTTACTATCATGTGTTACCCGCTAGCAATCCTCTCATAAGCACCTCGCTGCTACCTAAACACTCTTAAGTATTTCTAGAAGCAAAACCCCTAGAATAAGGCATCATATATCAGGCTACTCTAGTCCTAATAAGAATACCTAGTCTACTCTAGCATGCATATCATAATACATCATATAGCATAACATAGCATATCTGATAACATTTATTATGAGAGTATTTTGGGAAATCACCGTTTGGGCGCTGGCTGATCGTACACACGGCTCTGCTCTGTTTGTCTCAAAACCCTTTTTCTCTTTTTCAAAAATTTTACTTTATTAAAAAAAATTCCTCAAATCCCCAGTTTGAGTTCGGATACGCCCGAAGATGTATCCGAATCCCTCAAACCAAGGCTACAAACTTGTAACACCGTAAAAATTTGAACAATTTTTCACTTTTGAAAAACCACGAAATATAGTTTGCATTCATAAATAAAAACATTGTATCACCATTGTATCAGTACAAAACCCCAAGATCAAAATATTTAAACTCCAGTGTGCGTGTGTACGAGTCATGCCGGCGCCTTCCCGCGATCATCGCTACTACCTGAAACACATAGCACATAACACTGTAAGCATAAATGCTTAGTGAGTTCCCCAAAATACCACATATATCACATACGCCTTTCCAGGCCATATGACCTTCCGATCCAAGTGTCTCAGGGGATTTCCATCCCAGACTCAGTTGACGTTCCGGTCCGTATCATCTTGACCTTCCGGCCCACATCATGCTCATATCACATAACATATCATATATAACTTACATCGCATATACATCATACACATAAGACCCTTCGGTCACATATAATTACCCCATCGGGTAAGGCATAGTGAGAAGACTCACCTCAGACGTCTCGTAAATCTCTGACTCGGTAGAAGTATTGCCTAGCCTCCGCCTATTCATACAAAGTAAATACCCTCATAAACATAGCACTCAAGGCTAGACTCGACCCTCTAATGTCATCCTCAGAAGGGTAAAAGCCTATTTTACCCCCCTCTTGACTCAAGGACCCCATTGTTGACCAAACCCTAATAGTCAACAAAAGTCAACGGTCAACTTTGACCCAACTCGCCGAGTGCACTTCGGTGACTCGGCGAGTACACACATGTCCACTAACTGTCTGTCCCGCTTGGTACGTCGAGTCCTATCCGATGCTCGACGAGTCACACCTGGCATGAATCGTGGGGCTACCCCGACTCAACTCGCCGAGTCTCAAGAACAGCTTGGCGAGTACCGCCTTGAACTCTAGTCTTTTAACCCCCTTCTGACTCACTAAGTTATCCCTAACTCGGCAAGTCTATTCACTGAGTGATCTGCGTGGACCTTAACCCTACTCGCCGAGTCCCAAGAACAACTCGGCGAGTTCATGCCATGCACAAACTCTATTGATCTCCTGTGGTCAGATCTGAGCCGCTAAACCATAGATCTGGCCTTCCCAAGTGTAAATGTCACGTAAAGTCTGAATCTTGATGCTTATAACTCAACCAATAAGCATCAATTGGTGATTTTGTCCCAAATACCTTAACCCAAGGTCATGACCTCCATTGCTCTCCATAAAGCTTGAAGAATAAGGCTCTCTGGACCTCTATGGGTCCAGTTACAAAGCCTCATCTCCAGAAGGGACTATTTGGACCTCAAATCAACTTAGTCAAGGGTGCAAGAAACCCTAAAATATATGTCGTTCGAAAACAAGAACATCAAAACAAGGATACATCATCATAAGTCATAATAAAATTTCAATTATTAAATATTAATTTTTTATGAGAGTATGATATCACATAGTTGAATAAAATAGAAATAATAAAATAATAAATTAAATCTACGCCAATAAACAAGTGCTAACTTCTTAAGTACAACATATGTAAAATAAAAGGCAAGGACACACTTATGCCACATACCTTTGCTAAACTTGTAATTGAAAACTAACTTAGAGCTTTCGAATGGCACGAGCTGCACGTGAATCCATCTGCGAAGAATTTTATTTGCTTGATAAAATTCTATGATTTTTATTTTATTTATTCCAACTAGCTACAATACTGATAGAGTCATGTGAAGTGTGAACTCATTAGCGACTATATATTCGTTAATTAAGTTATATCTGCTTATACTAAAAAATATAGTTGTAGTTGTAACGAAAATGCGTGTGTTAGTTTGAGGAGAATATAATTTCTAAGATGATGTAAATTTCACTTTTATAATGCAAGAGGATATGGCTAGCTAGTTTAGTGATCATTATATAAATATACCAACGTATTATCCTAACTTCCCATTATTTTTTTCTTCAAAACACTATTACCTATAACTGAAAAAGAAAGAAAAGATGCAAGCTTTATCTCCTCTCTTCTCAAGTAACTTCGCATGGCCCTCTGAGGATCTCATACCAAATCATTTTCAACTTGATGGCAATGATCATTCTATAGATGTTGAAGCCAATTCATATAAATCTATTCTTGGTTTTCATACATATGCAGATATCCAGCCTGATTTTGCTAATGAAAATTCTAATTCTTCTGGAGGGCTTGTAAATGGTGATTTCACTAATCCTTTGATGGTGGTGAAGAAGCTCAATCATAATGCCAGTGAAAGACATCGTCGTAAGAGAGTGAACGACTTGTATGCTTTCATTCGTTCACTACTACCGATTTCCACTGATCAAAAGGTGCTAACACATTTATCTTGTTCAAATGTTAGTGAGAAAATCAGTCGAAAAAATGTATAATTCTAACATGTGCAAACACATGACTAACATTTGAGCTGTATATAGATCAGCTCTAATGTTTCAGTGGGCCTAGCCTTATAATATTTCTCTTTTGACACAGAAAAAAGTAAGTATCCCTGGAACAGTATCGCGTGCACTGAAGTACATACCAGAACTACAAAAGGAAGTAGAGACATTAATACGTAAAAAGGAAAAGCTTTCATCATATTCATCATCAAAAGCTTATTTGAGGCAAGAAGGCATGAAGAACGAAATGGGTAAAGATGCAAAAATTGAAACAAATTCATCATTTGTTTCTTCGGTAAGAGTTTTAGGAGCCAAAGAAGCTGTGATACAACTGATTTCTTCAAAGGATCATATGCACAAGAGGAAGGAGATTGGCTTCTTGTCAAAGGTTTTGAAATACTTAGAGGAGGAAGAAGATGGGTTAGTTTTGCTGAATTCATCGACCTTCAAATCGTTGGGGGAAGGGATGTTATTTAGCACTCTACATATTCAGGTACATAACAGTGATCTCTTTAATCTTACAATGCAGTGAAAGAATATATTCTCTTAAAGCAACCTCAAATCTAAATTAAAGTACGTAGGGAATCTTCTCAAGATACAATTGGTTTTGTTTAAAAAAAAAACTAATTAATATGAGTGTTCATTTTAGGAAAATTTCTCAACTGAGTTGAAGCATATATTTTTCTATAAGCATGATTTTAGTTTTATCAAGCATACTTATGTCATAGATCTGTTGTTGGCCACAATGAACAATCGGTTATTTCAATATTAATTTCATAATCAACTTAATTAAATTGAAATAGTTATATTAATACATCATTGTGTTGAACAGGTGCAAGGTGATAATAACATAGACGCTGGAAGGCTGAAAGAGAAGCTCTGCTCTTTCTACCAACAATCAGATTGAGTTTTACTCCAGTTAGAATGCATTGTCTACATATTAGATCTAGTAATCAGCAAGCTTTAGTTTTTGACATATTAGTTATATAGCGTTCAACAAAATAGATCATTGAGAAAGTAAATTAATGCCTAAACATTTGTAAATACTAGATAATCAAATGTGAATGATAGTAAGAAAATCGTTACCATTCCTGGTGCTTTGAAAGGTTACGTGAATTTACTTCTTATCAGATCCCTATGCTTCCATAAATTAGTGAATAACGCAATTCTAAAAAAAATATGTAGACAAAAAGGTTGACAGATTAGTCCCGCTATGTCCAAAAAGCATATAATAGAGTCAAGCCGAAAGTGATTTCCCTCTCATTCACATGAATATTAAAATATTTACGCTTGACAACCTCTAAACTAAGGATGAGATTTCGAACCGGAAAACCGGACCGGAACCGGAATCGGACCGGATTGACATGTGCTTTTTTCCAGAGTATAGTTCACATATTGTATATAATTTTAAACTATAATTTTGTCAATTTTAATTTTATATTCAATGAGTTACAGAACCTGAAAGACGGGATATCAATATGAAAATTTTCAAAGTTCAACCTACTAAGTAGTAAGTAATTACCAAAAAATCTGGTTTTTCCGGTTCTAAACTCACTTTATTCAGTTCCAACCTACCCACTTTGACGTTTCTGGGTTTTCCAGTTTTAGACCCATTTTACCCGGTACCGGAACCGGTTCCTATATACCAGTCCGGTTTCCGGTTCTACAAAATCCCGTTAACCGGTTCTGGGTTTTTCGAGTCCGGGTCCATGCGGTTCGGGTTTGGACCCATTTTCATCCCTATTGTAAAGTACAAATAATACAAATCATCACAATATAATCAGTAGTTTGTAGTCTAAGGAGGAGGTTGAGGAATGCTTAGACTAGAACAAAAATAGTTGAATAGGACACATGGTATGCCTTTAGTAAAAATGTCAGCGAATGATATGTTGAGGGTACATGTTTGTAACATCCCAAAAATTAAAATCAAAAATTTCATTTTTAATATAATAATTATAAAAGCATTGTCTAAAAACATCATAAAATCAACTCATATCAAAACCAATGTATCCATAATCAAAACATGTCATGATAAAACAATATAAGAGTAAAACTCCTAGAGATATCATGTGCGGAAAATATAGTGTGATGTGCTGTGATCATACCGGCTCTTTTCTCTTCGAAGAGGAAGTACCTGAAACCAAAACTAAAAACTGTAAGCACGAAGCTTAGTGAGTTCCCATCATGCCACATAATAACATACTGCCAGACATATTTGAGTGTCTGACCTACCTTGTCAGGCTTATCTGGATGCCCCACCTACCCTGTCAAGCATATCTGGGTGCTCGACCTACCCTGTCAAGCATATCTGGGTGCTCGACCTATATTGTCATGCATATTTGGGTGCTAGACCTACCTTGCCAGGCATATCTAGGTGCCCGATCTACCCTCTGGTTTATCTCAACCTGTTACGAAGACTATTTCACCCCTACCACTACCACATAATGCGTAGCATAAACATACTGTCAGACAAATCTGGGTGCCCGACCTACCCTCCGGTTTATCTCAACTGACTACGGGGTCTAACCTACCCCTCCTACCACTATTACATAATATCATAACATACTAGCACATAAAGCATAACAAACAGTAGCATACCAGAGAATTATCACAAAGACAATCAGCTCAACTATAATCAACTAATAGTGGGTCGTCATTGGTGCATTCGACCCACTTCTACTTGAAGGTAACTCACCTTAAATGCTGTAAAGTAGCTAGAAATCCTCAGCTCCGACAATGCACCCAACTCAAACTCCTATACATAAAACATTTACTTAATTACCCTTTCATACTCATGAACCCCTCTTAAGGGTCAACATTGGTCAAAGGCAAAGTTAAAGTCAATACCCTGGTCAAAGTCAACATTCTGGGTTAACTCAACTCGCCGAGTTGGCCCATCAACTTGCCGAGTTCCATAAATCATAAAACCTTGAAATCGTGATTCAACTCGTCGAGTTCCTCCTATCCACATAATCAAGATTTTTCTACCAAGCTCTTCGAGTCCGTCCTTGAACTCGTTGAGCCCTTTCTTTTATAGAATCGGGGCATTTCTACTCAACTCGTTGAGTTCCTCTATGAACTCGTCGAGTTCTTCAGCATCTTAAGCTTTCTTAATGTCTTAAGCCATTATTCTTAGAATCTAAGTCCCATACTCCAGATCTGAGTCGAATACACCTCTAGGAGGGTAAGTTTCTAACTTTACCCATTAAGACCCATCCTAGACGAAATGATCTCTAACCCTAGCTCAAAATGGCTTAGTTCCAAATTCAGAAACCATAAAAACTTCAAGATAAGCTATAGGATCATTGAGTTGGATTCTAGGGACAGTTTGGTCAAGTAAAGTTCCTATCTTTACTTGCATGCATAGACTACTTGGCTCAAAAGGAAAAAAAAATATGGTCCACAAGTTGCATGGGACTTCGATGACCATAAGTTAGAGCTTTATACCTCAGATGAACCAGAAATGAAGCTCAACTTCTGGATCTACTCTTCTCCTACACGTCCTTCTTCCTTCTTCAAGTATCATCTTCTTCAAAATTACAAAGAATGCAAAAATATGGCTCAAAACTCTCAAAAGTGGATTAGGGTTTTGTGGCTAGGGTTTAGGACAATGGAGGCTATAAATGAGGCTAGCTTATGGTGGTTAAGGTGTTTAAATATGGTGTAAAACCCTGAAAATTAGGGTTTCCTTCTGCGATTCCTACTCATCGAGTTGAGGCTCCTCGACTCGTCGAGTAGACTTCACAACGCGCGTCCAAATCCATCTCTACTCGACGAGTTTGGGGCGTCCAACTCGTCGAGTTTCTATACATAAATGAATAAATTGAGATTTAAATACTGTAACACCGTAAAATTTAAAACAAATTTTCATTTAATTTTTTTTATAAAACATTTCATTATTTAATCTTCCAAAAGTTAAACATCCAATGTTTCCACAAAATACATAACATAACCCATAACCCAAGATCTCAAAAACATGACATCTGCAAGTGTGTACTGATCAAGCTGGCGCCTTCCTGCGATCCATGCTAGTACCTGAAACACATAACGCATAACACTGTAAGCACGAATGCTTAGTGAGTTCCCCAAAATACCACATACTGCACATACTCCTTTCCAGGCCATAGGATCTTTCGATCCAAGTGTCTCAGGGGATTTCCATCCCAGACTCTGTTGACCTTCTGGTCCATATTATCTTGACCTTCCAATCCACATCATACTCATATCACATATAACTTACATCACATATACATCATACACATAAGACCTTTCGGTCACACATAATTACCCCATCGGGTAAGGCATAGTGAGAAGACTCACCTCGCTGATGTCGGATAATCACTCGTGCCTAATTTCCCGACGTATCGTCCTCCTATATCATAAGTACAAATCTCATTAATACTTTCTTGACTTTGTCTGATTACTACTATTAAGTCAACACTAGTCAACCCTGGTCAACACTGGTCAATGTTCAACCTTTGACCCGACTCGTCGAGTGCCTTCTAGCAACTCGGCGAGTCCATCGCGTACTCACGTCCTCTAGATCCCTTCTGACTCACCGAGTCATTCCCCAACCCAGCGAGTCACCAACTGTGTGATTTACGGGGAAACCCTAACCCTACTCGTCGAGTCTGTTCTTTGACTCGGTGAGTCCATCCCATGCACAAATCAAACTAACCTCCTTAGGTCAGATCCGTTCCATTAATCCATAGATTCGACCTTCCCAAGCATGATAATCACATAAAGTCCATATCTTGATGCACAAACAACATCTATTTGATCCTATATGATGTTTTAGCCCCAGTTATCATAACCCATGGTCAAAACCCCCATTGATCTTCATAAAGCTTGATGAGTAAGGCTCTTTGGACCTCTATGGATACATATCTAAAGCCTCATCACAAATAGGGACTAATTGGACATCAAATCTAGCCAATAAAGGGTCCAAGAAACCCGAAATCCATATGATCATCATAACAATAGAAGGGGAGCCAAAAGATTACCTCAAATGTGATGCTCTGAGCTCAAAATCCACATAATGTCCACCTCCTTGGCTTCCTCTTGGCTAGAACCTTCTTTTCCTTGCTAAACAATACTTCAAAGGTCAACAATGTTCTCCTCTCTCTCCCAAAACGCTCAAGTGCTCTAGGGTTTCTTTCAAGGGACTGATAGATGCAAATGACGGCCCTATGGGCCTTTCAATAGATCTCAAACCCGAGAGATTAGGGTTTCATTAAATAGCACGGAATCGTCGATTCCACCCATGAACTTGCCGAGTCCGATCATTAATCCGGATGCGAATACGCGACCCTACTCGGTGAGTCTAAGCACCAACTCGCCAAGTCCCTCCAAAAACTCCAAAAAGAATAATAAAAAATAAAATACCTGGGAATCTGGATGTTACAATTCTCCCCCACTAGAATCAGACTTCGTCCTCGAAGTCTAACTCTGCAAACAACTCTGGATGCTGCTTACGCATCTCACGCTCCGGCTCCCAAGTTAACTCTGACCCCTTCTGATGCTGCCACTGGACCTGCACCAGAGGCACTTCCTTGTTCCTCAGAACTTTGATCTTCCGATCCTTAATAGCCACCGGTCTCTCAACATAGTTTAGGCTCGGATCCACCTTAATATCCTCTAATGGTACCACTGCCGACTCGTCGGCTATACACTTTCTCAGCTGAGATACGTGAAATGTCTCATGAATCTGACCCAACTCTGCAGGTAGGCTACCCTGCCTACCTTCACGATCACCCTGAAAGGACCAATATATCGGGGTCCTAGCTTGTCTCTCTTCCTGAATCGGATCACTCCTTTCCAAGGAGAGACCTTTAGGAGCACAAAGTCGCCAACTTGAAATTCGAGCTCGGACCGGCGCCTGTCCGCATAAATCTTCTAGCCACTCGGAGCGGTCAGCAACCTTTGCCTGACCTGCTGTATCTGCTCGGTCGTTTGAAGCACAATCTCTGTACTACCCATCACACATTGCCCTATCTCTCCCTAGCAGACATGAGTCCGACACCTCCTCCCATACAACAGCTTAAAGGGTGGCATACCAATGCTCGAATGATGGTT